TGGCCGCCCGCTGCTGCCCGCGGGGTCCGGCCCGGTTCCGGGGTTCGGGGCTCGCTGCCGGTGTGCCGGGAGGACGGGCGGCCTGGGGCGATCCCGCCGTGGGCAGCGGCCCGGCCCCGCTCGGCTGGGGGCTGTGCGGTGAGCGGGGCGGGGAGGCTGCCCCGGGAGCGGCACCGGGCACCGAGCGGGCCACCGGCCACTGCTGGGGCTGCCAGACGGTGACAGAATTGGTGCGGAGGCCGGGAAAGGGAACGGGGACCGGAGCCGGGGTGTGGAGGGAGAGGGATGGAGGCCGCCCGGGCTGGGCAGGGCTGGCACGGAGGGCACGGCCCGCTGGAACCCGCGTGCTGTGAGCCCGGGGGTGCCCGGGACCCCCGCGGAGCCGGGCCGGGACAGCTGGGCTGTGACACGGGGCGTGGGGGGCGCAGGGGGCCGGGACGTGCCCGCAGCCCTGGCTGCTGCTGCACGGGAGGGGATTCCACAGGGAATGTGCCGCGGGATGGGGCCGGGTGCGGTTCGGGGAGATGTGCAGAGGCAGGGAACGGGCACAGGAGAGGGGCTGCAGCTGCTGCCCTGCTCTTGTGCTCCCCTGGGCAGGGAGGGGAGGCTGGCAGTGGCCTGGCCAGGCAGGGCTGAGGGCTGGGCCCCTGCTCTGCAGCTCCTGGAGGAGCCGGGCTGGCCCAGGGCTGTCCCGTGCTCCTGGGGGATGTGTGACCTCATCCCTGCTCTGTGGCTGCTGCTCTGGGCCCCGGCCCTGCCCACGTGTGCTGCCACCCTCCCTGGTGTCACAGCGTGTCCTTGTCATGCAGGGGTGACACGATGGTCGCGAGGCCTCTCCCAGCCTCGGTGGTCCTGTGGGATTTGGTGCCATCATGAGACTTTGGTACCCTCCTGAGACCAGGGCTGCCCTGCCCTTGTGGTGCCCGTGCTGCGGGCAGAGCTCCCTCTGTCCAGCCGCTGCCCCTGCCGTGTCCTTGCCATGGTGCTGTGTGCTCAGTCGGTGTCCCCAGGGCAGGCTTTGCTGGCTGCCGTGTCCCCCGGCAGCCCTGCCCTGCGGGTCAGGTTCAGGTGCCCAGGGGGTGTGTGGAGCTGGCACTGCCGGCTCAGCCCTGGTGCTGCCGTGCAGGGGTTGCTCTCCCAGGGACGCGGCGTTGCCTTGGGTGCAGGGGTTCCTCTGCGTGTCCCGGGGCTCTCCCAGCCCTTTCCCCGTGCCACGGGCACTCCCAGCAGCGTGGGGCTGTGTCTGTGCTCCCAGGGCGCCGTGGCAGCGGGGCTGAGGTGTCTCCTCTCTCTGCTTCCAGCTGGGGGTGATGCCATGGCCGCTGCCAGCTCCAGCAGGGCCAGGGCCGGGCTGCCCTGCGAGAAGTCCCCGCTCTCCGTGAAAGGTGGGTGCTGCTGCATGGCTGGGACTGCCCTGCCGGGAGCGCGTGTGCCCTGGGAGCAGGGGCGGCCCTGCCTGCCCTGCCTGCCCTGCCTGCCGTGCTGCCGCGGCTGCGGCCGCTGCCGTGGCCGCGAGATGGCTCCCGGCGCCCGGAGCCGTGCCCGCTCTGCCCCTCCGCAGGCGGCCCCGGGCCCTGCGGCAGGGAGGAGTCCCGGGGACAGTGACAGCGCTGCCACCAGGAGGGGTGACGCCGGGGACAGGCTGGGCAGGGCTTGGTGCCAGCCATCACTGCCAGCAGCGGCGTTGCTCCCCGCTGCCCCTCTCCCAGCTGTGGCACCCCGAGCGGGCAGGGGCGGGCAGGGCACAGGGCAGGGCACAGGGCAGGGGCCAGGGCAGGGGCCAGGGTGCCTCGCAGGCCTGACCCCGTGCCCGTCCCTGCCCAGTCGTGTCTGTGAAGCCCAAGGCCCAGAGCCGCCCGGCACGCATGAACTGCTACGTGGAGGTGGCTGGCGACGGGCTGCCCAGCGAGACCAAGAAGACGGGGAAGCAGATGGGGGTCTCCGAGCTGCTGTGGAACGAGATCCTCACCCTGTGAGTCTGCGTGACCCCTGCTGTGGGGCTGGCCCCCTGTGCCCTGCTGTGCCACCGGCTGGGCACGCTCAGGGGTCAGAGCTTTGCCCCTCGCACGAGGACACCACCAGACACTGCCAGCCTGGGAGGGCAGTGGCACGGGGGTCTCCATTGCCCCATGTCCTTGCCCACCCCCTCTGCTCCTTGCCTGTGGCACTGCCTGCTCCCCAAGCACACGGCAGGCAGTGACAGCCCCTGTCCTGGTCTCTGCAGGAACGTCACAGCTCAGAGCCACTTGGAGCTGAAGGTGTGGATCTGCCACACGCTGAGGAACGAGCTGCTGGGCGCCGCCTCGCTCAGCCTCGGCAGCCTGCTCAGGGGTGGTGGCAAACGTATGTACGGGGCTGGGCAGAGGGCATGGGGCTGGGCACAGGGCACGGGGCTGGGCACGGGGCAGAGCACGGGGCTGGGCACGGGGCACGGGGCTGGGCATGGGGCACAGGACTGGGCACAGGGCAGGGCCTGGGGCTGGGCACGGAGCTGAGCACGGGGCTGGGCACAGGGCACGGGGCTGGGCATGGGGCTGGGCATGGGGCTGAGCACAGCGCTGGGCATGGGGGGCACGGGGTGGGGCACGGGGCTGGGCACGGGGCTGAGCGCAGGGCATGGGGCACAGGGCTGGGCACGGGGCTGGGCACGGGGCACGGGGCTGGGCACAGGGCAGAGCATGGGGCTGGGCACAGGGCTGGGCACGGGGCTGGGCACAGGGCTGGGCATGGGGCACAGGGTTGGGCACAGGGCAGGCCCGGGCAGCGCTGGCCGCAGTGGCCACGGTGTCCCCGGCAGAAAGCACAGCGCTGGGCATGGGGCACAGGGTTGGGCACGGGGCCGGGCACAGGGCAGGCCCAGGCAGCGCTGGCAGCGGTGGCCGTGGTGTCCCCGGCAGAGCAAGAGAACAAGGTGCCGTTGTGCCCGGTTCGCGCAGCCCGAAGCCGTACCTGCGTCAGCCCGGGCTGGGGCTGGCCGGGCAGCACAAACCCCTCTGCTCTTTGCCACCGTGTGCGGTTGCCAGAGCGTGGCTCGTGACAGCAGCTCCCTCATAAAGGCGGCCATTCAGGGCCGGGCGGCGCGGGGCTGGAAAAGGCTGCCTCTGTCTCTTCCAAGCCAAGCTGGTGAGACACAGACCTGGTATTGAGAGGGGAGAGGGGCCTCCTGCGCCCCGAGGGATTCGGGGCTGCTTCAGACCCTCCCCAGTGCTGGGGGCTGGGCTGAGCTGCTCCCCCTGGTGCCGCCAGCTCTGCAGCCACTCCGGTGTCCCTGCCGTGCCACCGTGGCTCTGGGTGGCACCGGGTGCTGTGGCACCGAGGGACACGTGGGAGCTGTGCTGCTGTCTCCTCACGAGGCCTGTGGGGACTCGGACGTGTGCCTGGGGCTGGCTGTGGTGGGGCGTAGCAGCCAGCCAGCCCCGCAGCTGTGGGGCCGTGCCCCTGGGCACCCTCCCCTGCAGCCGTTGCTCCCCGAGGTGTGCAGGGCCGTGCTGGGCTCCCGGAGCCGCCGCCGTCCCTGCCCTACCTGCGCCGCCACGGGGGCACAATTGGCTCTTTCATTCCCAGCCATCCCGGGAGGCCGCGTGGAAAATGAATGGAAAAGGCAACTGGCTGTTCTAGCTTGTCTGTTAACATCCCCCAGAAAAAACGTGTCAGATTTTTCCTTGACACTGCGGGCTGGGAGGGAGGAAGGACTCTTAAAGCTGCAGAGCCTGCCTTGCCCTGCCCGGGAAGGTGCTGCCCCTGTGCTCCTGTCTGCCCTCCTTGTCTGGGCTGGCATCTGCTCCCTCCTCTTCTCTGCAGGCTCATGCTCAGCCTTTGGGCTTTGCTGCAGGTCTGAGAGGGCCAGAGGCTGGTGGGGTCCCATGGGAGCCTGGGATCCTTTCCTGAGGGGCTTCTGTCCTCCTGGGAATAGGGGAGTGTGTTCCCTCTGCCTGCCAGCCTGAGGAAGGGGCTGGGTCAGGCCAGGGAGTGCAGAAGGCACCTGGGGTTTCAAGCCATCCTGAGTCAGACTCTTGATGTGAAAAGCAGTGAAATGTCTGTGCCACTGGAGGGTCCTGGCCCTCCTGTCCCATCCTGAGAGGTGCTCAGCCGAGAGTGAGCTCCTGCTGGGCAGCAGCCCCTCTTCGCTGGGTTTGTTACGGTTTTTAGTGAGTGTAGCTGTGGCCTTGGCTTGGTGTTCCTGTGGCTCTCCTCGGTGGGCAGGGCAGTGTCTCGCTGCTGGTGACACCTGTGGCAGTGTGTGCCAGGCTCCTTCCCGCCTGCCAGGATGCTGCTGCCAGGCATGCCTCACTGCAGGGGGAGAAGTCCCAGCTCTGAGGCCGGGAGCATGGCAGGAGAGCTCAGGGATGGGGCGTGAGCTCCCGGGAAGGCAGTGGGAGCCCTGCAGCTGGCAGCCCGGCTGTGGCAGGGCAGCCGGGGCTGCGGCCGCGCTTTCG